ACAATAAATGAAACATATTCATGATGATTAGAGGGGGTGTGGTTTGGAATACTGCCTGTATCCCGAGGATGGAGCTTTGCTTGTTTGTGCAGCCCACTGCTGGCATGCTGGGGACCGGGACCGGTCCACGGACCAGGCATTAGGGACTCCTGGTATAGGGTTGCCTGCCTGAGCAGGAGGTTGGATAAGAAGAGGGATAGAATCAAGATCACGTGAAGTATTAATACCATTTTACAATGCCTTGGTAAGGCCACACTTGGAATACTGCATCCAGTTTTGGTCACCACGATGTAAAAAAGGTGTTGAGACTCTAGAAAGAGTGCAGAGAAGAGCAACAAAGATGATTAGGGGCCTGGAGGCTAAAACATATTAGGAACGGTTGCTGGAATTGGGTATGTCTAGTCTAATGAAGAGAAGGACAAGGGGGGACATGATAGCAGTGTTCCAATATCTCAGGGGCTGCCACAAAGAAGAGGGAGTCAAGCTATCCTCCAAGGCGCCTGAAGGCAGAACAAGAAGCAATGGATGGAAACTAAGCAAGGAGAGAAGCAACCTAGAACTAAGGAGAAACTTCCTGACAGTTGGTACAATTAACCAGTGGAACAACCTGCCTCCTGAAGTTTGTGGGTGCTCCAGCACTGGAGGTTTTAAAGAAGAGACTGGACAGCCATTTGTCTGAAATGGTATAGGGTTTCCTGCCTGAGCAGGGGGTTGGACTAGATGACCTCTAAGGTACCTTCCAACATTATTATTATTATTATTATTATTATTATTATTATTATTATTATTATTATTATTATTATTATTATTATTATTATTATTATTATTATGCATTTTCAGCATCCCCTTGGTCATGTGATCAAAATTGGGGCACTTGGCAACCTAGCATGTATTTGTGACCGTTGCAGCGTCCCAGGGTCACGTGATCATGACTTTCCCAGCCAACCTCCTGCAAGCAAGTCCATGGAAGGAGCTGGATTCACTTAACCAGGTGATTCAAGTAACAATTGCAGTGATTTGCTTAACAACCGTGGCAAAGGAGGTCGTAAAATTGGGCGCAGCTCAATTAACAACTGCCTTCCTTAGCAACAGACATTTTTGTCCCAACTGCGGTCCTAAGTTGAGAATTTATCTATCGTTGCAATTCTCAAAGAGAGAATGGAAACTATCTATTATTTGACATTGCTTTTATTGATTACTTTGCTTAAAGCATTGCACATATTTGTACTCAGTGTTCCTCCGCTATAAATTGGCCAGATTTGCAAGGGATTTAGAGGAATTCAGGCACCAAACTCTTGATATAAAGGATGCATAAATAAAGTCTCTCAAAATGAGATCCCTTACAATTTTCCTTTTAATCCCTCACGACCAGGATTCATCACACTTTACCCCTCTTCTCAACCATCTGTTGACCTTGATATAAACTTGTGCATGTTAGTTTCTACCTATGGCAATTCTCATTCCAGATGTGGAAAGTCAGATAAGTCGAGGACTACCTGTATTATAAAGTGAAGTTCTGAGTCCATTGTTCAGAAATAGCCTTCAATGTGTCCAATATTAAAATATTTTGCTTCATTCTTTATTTATTGGTCAAATTTAAATGTTTTTTCTCCTTTTCTCCATTAAATGTAATGAAATGGGGCAAAACTCAATAATAACAACTGTCTTACTTAGCAACATAAATTTCGAGCTCAATGATAGTGACTTTCAATGGTCACTAAACAAATGATTGTAAATTGAGGACTACCTGAAGCTAACTCCAAAGGGCCACACCCATATTGGGACCCCAGGCTAGGTGGCACAGTCATGTCTTCAAGCCCTGTCTCAAGTCTCAAAGAGTGGGTGCAGATCCCATCTTGGGGAGGAGGATAATAATAATAATAATAATAATAATAATAATAATAATAATAATAATAATAATAATAATAATAATAATAATAATAATAATAAGAAGAAGAAGAAGAAGAAGAAGAAGAAGAAGAAGAAGAAGAAGAAGAAGAAGAAGAAGAAGAAGAAGAAGAAGAAGAAGAAGAAGAAGAAAAAACAACAACAACAACAACAACAACAACTGCATTTCACATCCTTTCCATCATTGCTGAAGTCCACGAGTCATAAAAGAGCCAAGGTTGCCTATCCCTGCCCTAGGTGTACCTGTTTGGTCAATTGAAGGTTACAAAGTATCAAACAGACACAAGAGTTTTAGCATATAGATTAGCCACTGAGCATCTATTAGAGCAGGGGTCCCCAACCCCCGGGATGTGGACCAGCACTGGGCCGCGGCATGCCGGAAACCAAACCACGCAAACAAGCAAAGCCCCATCCACAGGATGCAGGCAGCACACGAAACCACGGACCCTCCGGTCTGCAGAAAAACCTCTCTCCACAAAACCGGTACCTAGTGCCTAAAAAGTTGGGGGCTGCTGAATTAGAGAATGGGTGGCCTTGGGAATTTAAAAAAATAAATAAATAACTTGTCCCAAGTGTAGAGGCTACAGGGTCTGGATGAGTAGGACCTGGCTCAAATTCAACCCTAAAAATATCAGGTGACTGTGGCTGTTGGTTCCCCTGGAATGAGAGAACTTCCATTTGAATCTGGGACTACTGCAGTGGTGGGATTAAGCCGGTTCGCACCACTTCGGCAGAATCGGTAGCTAATTTTTTGTTGCTCAGGCCCAGAATGGGCTTCCAGAAGCGGCGCCCATGCAGAGAACCGGTTGTTCACATATTTGAATCCCACCACTGGACTACTGTACAATTCGGGTGGGGGCACTTCCTGGACTTACAACTATTGTTTGAAGAGCAAGGGGCAGTGTGGTCATGAGGCTCCTTGCAACACGCTTTGCTTGAATTAACTCCTTTTCTGCCTAGCCACCTGGCCCGAAGCATTAAAAAAAATTGCACCATACAGTAACAGTAAGAGTTGGAAGGGACCTTGGAGGTCATCTAGTCCAACCCCCTGCTCAAGCAGGAAACCCTATACCATTTCAGACAAATGGTTGTCCAGTCTCTTCTTAAAAACTTCCAGTGTTGGAGCATTCACAACTTCTGGAGGCAGGTTGTTCCACTGGTTAATTGTTCTAACTGTCAGGAAATTTCTCCTTAGTTCTAAGTTGGTTAATTTCCATCCATTGTTTCTCGTCTTGACTTTTGGTGCTTTGGAAAATAGTTTGACCCCCTTATCTTTGTAGGAGCCCCCTCAAATATTGGAACACTGCTATAATTGTAGTCCTTCTTTTTATTAGACTAGACATACCTAATTCCTGTAACCATTCTTCACGTTTTAGCCTCCAGCCCTCTAATCATTCTCATCTTTCTTCTCTGCACTCCTTCCAGAGTCTCAACCTCTTTTTTATACTGTGGTGACCAGAACTAGTCCAGCCCCCTGCTCAAGCAGGAAACTCTATACCAGGGGTCTTCAAACTTGGCCCTTTTATGACCTGGGGACTTCAACTCCCAGAATTCCACGCTGGCTGAGGAATTCTGGAAGTTGAAGTCCGCAAGTCATAAAAGGGCCAAGTTTGAAGACCCCTGTCTTAATTCTAACAAACAAAATGGAGGCTGGCTGAGGAATTCTGGAAGTTGAAGTCCGCAAGTCATAAAAGGGCCAAGTTTGAAGACCCCTGCTCTATACCATTGCAGACGAATGGTTCTCCAATCTCTTTTTTTAAAAAAACCTCCAGAGTTGGAGCACCCACAACTTCTGGAGGCAAGTAGTTCCACTGATTGATTGTTCTCACTGTCAGGACATTTCTCCTTAGTTCTAAGTTGCTTTTCTCCTTGATTAGTTTCCATCCGTTGCTTCTTCTCCTGCCTTCAGGTGCTTTGGAGAATAGTTTGACTCCCTCTTCCTTGGGGCAGCCCTTCAGGTATTGGAAGACTGCTATCATGTCACCCCTGGTCCTAGTCTAGTTCCCTTAGCGAATTTAGTGTATCAGTGACTTAGTCTTAGCGCATTTAGTGTATATAGGTTGCAGGAACTGGGTATATATACACTAAATACGCTAAGACTAAGTCACTGATACACTAAATTCGCTAAGGGAACCTAACTAACCTTAAATCAGACTTCACCCTAGAATTAAGGCTAGAAGGCCTTTAACCTGACCTGGTTAGGCTTGTGGTTGTGGGAACGCAGCCGTTCCCGACCAAGAAACCGCCCGGAGATGCGCTCTCCGGCTCAGTGCAAAAGCAGCGCAGCCGTTCCTTTGAATCCGCAACGGCTCGGCGGCCAACCTTGACGGGGCGCGCCTGCTTTCCACGACCAGAGGATTTTCTATTTTTTTTTTTAAAGAGGCCATTAATTAGAGCGATCGCTCTGATTGGGCGGCCGCTCAGTCCCAGCGGGCGCCTCGCCGCAACATAACGGGCGAGGTGGGCAATGATTAATATCCCGCCTCCGGTCAGGGCACCGTGCGCGGAGCCAGCTGGCTCCAGACCCAGCGAGCTGCTCCAGCAGGACGGACGGGCGGGCGCAGGCAGGCAGGCAGGCAGGGCGCAGAGCTGCCGCCGTCTCGCCCATCCCAAAGCGGGACTCCCCGGCCAATCTTCCATCGGATCGGACCGGACCAGGCAGCCTTGCGACGGCGCCCAGGAGGAGCAGCTGCGCCACCGGATCCTTAGACGGCTGCGGCGCGAATCCGGATCAGGTGAACCAAGGACGTGCGGTTCCTCTCCCGCTCTCGGATCTCGGGAGAGGCTCCCCGGATCGTGCGGGGGGAGAAACGAGAAGCGCAGCTGGACAGACCCGATCCTCGCCTGCGCGGCCCGACGGCGCAAAGTCCTTCCCAAGAGCAAGAGCGCAGGGCTGGTTCCCGGAAGAGCTCCCCGCGACGTCCGAGCGGCTGTCCTCGGCGGGAAGCGGCGCGCCAGGCTCCCGGTCTTCGGAGAGGCGCCACGGCTAGCCGGATCCGCGCAGGGCCGGCGCTGGGGAGAGAGGGCGCGCTCCCAGCCGCTGCGCCCCTCTGGAGAAGCGTCCTAGCCCGGCCGTCCCGTCGCGGGCAACGATGGCCGAGCTCAAAGCGCTGGGCGGCGAGTCCTACCTGGCCCTGGCGCAGAGTTACCCCCAGACGGCTTTCGCCTTCGGCGCCGTGCGGGGCGCGGGCGAAGCGGGGCGCGGCTACCCCGGGGGCGCGGGCGGGCTGGCCTTCCCGGCGGCGCAGCTGGGCAAGGCGGCGGAGAGCAGCGGCGAGCAGAGCGGCGACGAGGACGAGGCTTTCGAGGGCTCCAAGGCCGGCAGCCCGGCCTTCGAGCGCGGCGGCGGCGGCGAGGCCAAGCTGAAGGCGGGCGTCGGGGGCGCCCTCGGGGCCAAGAAGCCCAAGGAGCAGCGCTCGCTGCGGCTCAGCATCAACGCCCGCGAGCGGCGGCGGATGCACGACCTGAACGACGCGCTGGACGGCCTGCGCTCCGTCATCCCTTACGCGCACAGCCCGTCGGTGCGCAAGCTCTCCAAGATCGCCACGCTGCTCCTGGCCAAGAACTACATCCTGATGCAGGCGCAGGCCTTGGAGGAGATGCGGCGCCTGGTGGCCTACCTCAACCAGGGCCAGACGCTCGGCGCCTCCATCCCGCCTGCCTTGGCCCCCTTCGGACAATCGGCCGCCGTCTACCCATTCACGGGCGCCGCCTTGCCGAACTGCCCCGAGAAATGTACTGCCTTCGCCGGGGCAACCTCGGGCCTTTGCAAACACTGCAGCGAAAAGCCCTGATGGGGTCCTTGGACGCTTCTTGCAAAAAAAAATTCCAGAATTTTGGATGCGGAGGGGCTTTTCCTAACCCATCCTACGCATCCTAGAAATTCTCCTTCGTTTTATGCCCACCTTCTCGGCCTAATTTGACTTCTCCTCTCTTTCCTTCGCTTTCCCTTCCTGCAGGTTTAATCCGGATGCTTTTCTCCCCGGCCACCACTTTGTTCTATTTTCGAGATTTTCGTTAAGACTTCGCACACACACACACATACCGGGATCCGGTTTTTTGTTTCTTTTCCACCTTCTCAAATCTGTCCTGAATTACTTTCTGTGCATAACTTTTTTTTAAAAAAAGAACTTGTCTACAGTATGAGGTTGTAAACCGGATGGTGAAATCTTTTTCCTCTAGAAAGAATAACTTGAGTAGGTAAAAAAAAAAAATTGGGAAAAGAAATTGCGCCAGATTCCTTTTGGGAATAAATCTCCTGGAGGACAAACCTATGCAACTGTTTAGTGAATGCAAAGTTACTTTTTTGGGGGGAAAAAAATATTTAAGCAGTCTCTCCCAATTTGCAGTTAATGTGTTCAAAATGCTCCATTTTTACATTTTCATTTGGGGTCCTGATTGTGAATACAAGCTTGCTTCGTAATGGGTTGATTAGTTTATTAGATATATTCGTATCTTAAAACTTTGAACCCATTCTTCGTCTTAACTACAATCTTTTAAGTGTGAGCTGCTGTTTCTCTGCTCTTTTCAATGTTTTTTTTTCTTTGCTTTTTTATTATGGTTGAACCATTTTCTGTCTTGGTAACCTGGGACATTAAAATTCTCTGAGCTGATTTATTTGTATTTATATTAAATAAAAAAAGCACATCAATTAACTCAGGTGGCTCTGTCCTAAATCTCTCATAATGTCGGTTTGCTATGTATCAATTCTGTAAACATGGATCCTTTTTAGAGGAGTGATGGTACCAAACTGAGTATATTCTGAATAATAACATATATTATGGCTAATCCAGCAAATTGAAATACTTTAAAATCCTATTGACTTCAGCAGGCTAATATTTAAAAAAACCTACAATTGGGTTGTGGTTTTTTTTAGCTAAAAGCAATGAAAGTTTATCAAGCTATGGAATCTTCTTTCTAATTAATCCACTCCTTAGAATGAGATGTGTAAGGGTTTAATTTGATCCTAGAATGAGATAATAAAGGGTATAATTGCACCCACATAAAATTAGTAATAGGTTTTGCAGATTTTGGGGATGTTTTATTGGGAGAAAATGTGGTTTGGCTTACAGAAAGAATTCAGAGTCTGCAGTTGATATTTTAATGTCTAGTGGTACTATAAAAAGAGTTTTAATTTCACTAAGGATTCAGCATTGCAGCCTTATTCAATTCCATGGAGATTATGTATGTTTAACACTGGAGGTCTAAATCGGTTTATGTATATACTATATTATTGCCTTCAATCTGAAATCCCTTATATGTAGAAAGAGACGCTATAGATAATGTACATTTTAGATACCTACAAAGTAATTAGATATAGGATATTAGCTAAAGTGTTTTGTGGCTGTGCAGGAGAATATTTAAATAAAGGATAATTGCATTGTTTCAGGTGGGGTGGCCTGGAATAGATGTGTATATAATATCTACATTTTATCTATCTATCTATCTATCTATCTATCTATCTATCTATCTATCTATCTATCTATCTATCTATCTATCTATCTATCTATCTATCTATCTATCTATCTCTTACCTTTATTATTTTTTCAAATAACTCAAAGTGGCAGATATATCCAACACAACTTCCTCCTCTTATTTTCCTAGTTTCTCCTATTTTTCTCTTGTTTTTTTTTTTAAAAAACCATAATGTAAAAGAAGTGAGATGTGGGGGTAAGTTGATCAGGTTCGGCTCCTTCCTTGAAAGTCAAAATTCACATGGAAACATGGATTTTAAATTCGCAAAAGGTGCAGGTTATAAGATATTCTATCATTGGAGAAGATGATCTGTAAATCTTGCACAAGTTGAAAGCTTTTCGCTAAAAGGTGTGTCCCTTAAGGTATTCAGAACAGGTTTGTACTTGTGAACCTGCATTTTTTTTATTTTTGTTTAAAAGTCTGTTGTTATTTGTGCTGCCTCCGCATCTATCATTTTGTAGTTTAGGATGCTTATCTGTCAGGTAAAATGGTCACCCAGAGCCCAGTCTTGGGCACCTGCTGAGTTTAGTGGCTTTTAATTGTAGATAAAAGCCCTCCAACTCTTATCTGTTAGCTTATCCTGTTCACCAAATGGAGCCAGCTCATGAAATTGTAGCCGGAAGCTGAAATCCAGCTGAAAATGGTGTCCCTCTGTTTGAATCATTGGTCCTAAGGATGCTTGGGAACCCTGTTTATTTATTGATTTAAATGGGGTGTAGCAGGGAGGTCTGAAATTCTGATAATTCTACAAAATAAACCAGGATCTGGCTGACTTGATTGGTGCAATGGATGCCTAGACATGGGGGGGGGGGAAACCCTCCTTTTAATTCATTCTGGTTAAATTCCAGTATTTTTCCTTTTGGTAAGTTTTTTTTTTCAAATGAATGTATGGCTTGTTGGTTCTTCAGGTAGCCGTTGGATGGGGTGAGGGGGTGCTGGTGCTTCCAATGAAGAGATAATCAAGATAGACTTGTATCAAAGTAGAAGCTTGCCATTCATCGTTAGAGTAAAACGCAAATTAGTTCAGTGAATGCCTGCAGGCTTGATCTGTCCAAGCTATTTATTTTACAGATGAGAGGGAGTGTAACTGTTTAAGGTTATTAAACTGATTTGCAGGACTGTCGCCAGGATTAAGACTAATGTGAGAAGGATTCAAACCTGCTTGTCTTTAGTGTTTTATTTTAATTTGTGTCCTTTCCCCCTTTTTTTTTCTCTTGTATGTTTGCAAACAGAAATATGTAATTAACTTTTATCAAGAAAAAGACATCAAGTTAGCTGCTTCTCGTTTTTCATTCAAATCTCTTAATTTTATTTTTTAAAAGCTGCATTACATTTACATTTTATACAGACAGGTGTTTATTTAAAGATACTTTTTATACAGGCAGGTCTTTCCTCCCTCCAAAAATCCCACTGAAACAAAATAAACACCTGTTTGTGTTAAAAAAAAAGAGAGAGAACCTAACAAAATAAAAAGCTAACAATATTTGTCAGTATGCAGACTGATAGGGTGCAGGCAAAACATTTAGAGTATATTTTAACAAGGGCATCACTTAGAAATCTATCACGAGATTCTGATAAACTTCTTTTCCTGCCTTAAAAGTCTTAGCATTTAGCCGGAAATATTTCAAAGTGGAATCTTTTTAATTGTTCAGCACCTACTAGTGAAAAAGCTGCTGAGTTAATTTCTTCTTAAGAGAAACAAGCTTTTATTTTTTTTAATTGCAGGCTTCTACTAATAACTGTTGAATTTATAACTGCTCTCTCCTTAGATCAGAAGGACTGCATTGTTCTACAATTGACAGTTTATGAAAAATCTCCTGTAGTATTAAAGGAAGTCAGAGTCTCTGCCTATACTGAGGTAAAGTGAAGGAATTTACCGTTACCTTGTTGAATTTGTAAATGTTGATTAAATCGAATTGGGGAGGTGAGGCATTCGGGTGAGCTAAATGCAGCCAGATTCTGAGCTAAATTTATTCATTTATGGGTCAAATGGTGGAATCCAGTGAAGGTTTGTTTGAAAGCATGTCTTATTAGCTTAAATGGAGTGCATTTGCAATACATATACAGGTAGGTTTGTAGCATATCTCTGCTTAGAATTATGAGCACTGTGAGCTATACCAAGTTTATAGGACAGTATATATTCTCCTCTTATTAGAGAGATTGCCAGGGAGGGCAGACAATTTTTATGTAGGCTTTCTCCTCCAAGACTCAAATCCTTCTATCACGCATGCAGTGGCAAAATATTGTGTTGCGGCAATGTCCACAAGAAAAAAATTGGTTACAGACCTATAGTCGTCAATTTGTGCCAATTTTCGGGAGATATCTCTAATAATGTTTGGAACATTATATTTACTCACACATTAATCGGCTATCCACTCACGTAAACTAGGGAGAACATGTATTTTCTTAACAGGGATGTTATTATTTACTATTAATGTTAGTACTATTTTTACTATTATTATTATTATTTAATATATTGTAAAAAGTGATGGCTATTGCTGGTCTATGACCGTAATAAAGTTTATTGTATTGTGTTGTATTATGAGTAGAGCAGTGCTCAGTAATTTCTGAAGCTGGAGCAAAGAATCTAACTTTTAATTTGTTACCAATAAAGGAGAATATTTGTAGCTCAGGGTTGAAATGAAGAGTCCTTGATATTCTCTGAGGTAACATCGCTAGGCCTGATGATGTTACCTAGTTTAGGTAACGAAACCTCTGCCAGAAAACAATCGAGGTCAGAGAGCACCAAGGACCTTTCATTGGACTTGTTAAAAAATACAAAGATAGTTCAACCAAATATGGAGACTATGAAAGAGTTGTGTTAGAAGAAAGAGTGAGAGAGAGAGAGAGACAGTAATTACTTCTACCCATTCTCGCTGATCTGTTTTCCTCAGCCTTCATCCAGGCTACAGAAGCAAAAGAACATTCAGCTGCAGCAAAGCAATGGATGCTTGCAAATGAAAATTTGCAGATTAGGGAAAGAGAATTAAGCTGTATCTCCTTTTTCTGCTGAAAGAACAAGCGCCCAGACTGAGGAACGTAGGTTTGCTGAGATGGTATATTTTTCTACCCTGAGGCTAAAACCTCACCTTATTTGTCGAGCGAATTTTGGAATGGGCGGCTAAATTTTGAGGATGCCTGTCTGTTTTGCCCAAGTGAAAATTCAAAGTGGCTTTGGAATTAAACTTGTTGCCTGTAAAGGGAATATGTCGCGTGCCTTTAAATTAAAAATGTTATTAATAGGGGTAATTGATAAAATGCGATCCCAAATCTGTTTGAAGGTTAACATTCACCTGTAAATAAATAAACTCCAAATATT